GACGTGCGACGACATCAAAGACATCTACAAGAGGATGATGGGATCAGAGTTCGACTTCGAGGAGATGAAACGCAAGAAAAACGACATCTACGGCGAGGAGGAGCAGCAGTAATGAGAGGCTCTAATTAGGAGAAATTTAAATCGGCTAATATGAATATATAAGGAACTTAATGAACACTGTACGAAATTCAATATTGTAAGGCCTGCTTTTGTAATCCCATCTCTGAGAGATTGAAGAGTACTGCACTGGTAATGTTCCCTTTTTGGATATCATGTGTTAATTATTTCATTCTAGTAGGGCTGCTGTCCAGAATCTGGCAAATTCCTGACCGATTTCCTGACTAACCTCGTAAGCGAAAGGCAGACTGAACTTATTATTATTATTATTATTATTTTTGCAGACGTAGACGTGGGTGCAGATTTGAAATAACTCATTGACAGCTGTGTCTTACCTTGTCTTTTTAATCATTTGTAAAACATCCTTCACGATCCTGTGCTTCTGGTGAGCTCGTAGCTGTGACGCTGATGTCACTCAAACCTGATTATCAAGGAAAATAGAAACTGAGCACTCCATTATTGTGGACAGCATCCCTAAAGTCTCTCTCCCATCAATCTTAACTCTGTGGCAAAGTTGTATCATGGACAAAGCCCACACCTATTGTAGCAGCAAATGTTGGCTTCGTTCTGGGCACAGAACTTAACCTCCACTTAAGCTTCTCTAAACCCGTTTACATCGGTTGGGACACAGCTGTGCCTAAGGCTCCTTTGTGTTTTAATCTTAATAAAATTGAGAGAACAAATTACAGAGCAGGCAAGATGTGGAAGTATTTTCTGTCCCCCCCCGGTGGCTTCTCGGATGGACCAAACGGCGCTGCGGTATCGGCATGACAGAGCCTGTGCTTCTCGTGTCTCCTCAAGGCTCCAAATGATTTCTGTACTGCGAAGTAAAGCCAAATTCTGGAAACCACTCCTGGCCTCTGGTCTGATTCACTGCAGTTCCGGGAGCAGCGGCTCCAGGCCGAGATCCCTGAGGGAATCTCTGTCTGCCAGGCTGAGGGGGAGCGTTTCCTGCTGGAAAACATTTCCTGCTGGGAAACATTTCCTGGTTCTGTGGTTGGGCTTCCCAGCTCTGCTGCTCTGGGCAGATCCGGCTCAGGCCTTGACACAATTCCCTGCAGCTGGAAATGGCAGCAGTGATAAATAATTCTCGCTTTGGGCTCCTCTCCAGCCGGGATTGGAGTGATCGATTGGAGTGATCTTTCCCAATTCCCTGGCTGGGATGGGGCAGATAACGGTGCCAGGAAAGCTCAGGAAAAGCCTCGGAGCAGCTCTGCAGGTTCACTGGGGGCAGAGGCTCATCCTCCCCTCAGCAGGCGCCGTTCCCGCACAGGAACCGGGGTTTGATCCTATCAGATCCCAGAGCTGAGCTGAACCCACCCGGGGCTTTTGGCACTTCCTCTCCTGAGGTGGCGCTGCCAGGAACTTCCCCAGCAGCACCCACAAACCAGGACAGCCCCAGGGCAGGTGAAAATAAACCCTCCCATGAATCCCTCATCCCTTACCTGCTGCAGCCTGGTTACTCCTCTGGCTCCCGGCCCGTTCCGCTGGGGAGCAGAATGGGATCCATCATCCCTGCTCTTGTGATTCCCAGCCTCTCTCCCAGTGGAAAACCCCACTGGGAAAGGCAGGAGGCCGAGTGGGATCCCCTCTCCAGAAAGCAGAGCTGCGTGGAATTTTGCTTTTCAAAGGTTTTATTAATCAAACTCTTTTTATAAAGTYATCCTGTACAGAGCGGCCTCGCGGTCTTGTCTTCAAAAACAAAGCCGAAGGACGCCCCTGGCCCTGCGGAGCGGGCTCGGGAACGGGGCTCGGGGGAGTTTCCATCCCCACCCCATAAATTAGAGCTTATTCTGTTCCTGCCTCCCGGCTCCCGGCTCTTTACAGCAATTCCACCGCTGGAACGCGCGATCCCAGCGGGGAAACGGTACCGGGAGGCAGAGCTGAAATGATGAAATGTAGTGTGAGCCCGGCAGGGCCTGAACAGCCAACGCCACGTGGAAAACGGATTATTCTACTTCCTAACCTTCAAGTAAACTTTGGGAAATTCCTTTGCAGCTGCACYGAACACTGGAAAACATTCCAATAATTGACCTGTACCGTTAGCAGAAGCTCACCTGTGCATTACTGGCAGGGAGTGAATCCCAGAGGATTCACATTTGCCACCTTTAAATTGGATCGATGTGCAGAGCTCCAGCCGAYCTTCCCCACCCCCGGGGATCCACGGGGGCGGTGTCAGAGACTGGAATTGTTCACGCCTCCAAGCTCGATATAAAGTTTAGCGCTATAAAGTTTAGCGCGTTGTAACAAAAAACTGCATAAAGAAGGGTCCCTGAAGTCCCTGAGTGGGGCTTTGGGCTGAAAGTGAAGGTGCTGAGATAAAATCCTATTGTTCAGTGGGGTCTGGGGATAACGGACAAGGCTGATGGGAAGGGATCCATCCACGAGAGAGCAGCAGARATCCTGAGCTTTCCTGGGGAACCAWCACCAAACCATCGCCGCCGGGAAGAGCAGCTGGAGAGCACCATGGAACATCCTGGGATCCAGGGATGGAGATGTGTCCCTCATTCTCTGTCCCCTCACCCATTTTCTGTCTCATATTCACCATCCAACAAACCCCACCCTGCTGGCACTGGCAGTTGGTCCTGTCTGCTCCTTCCCTGGGTGATCGGGACAATCGGATCCTGACGGATGCTGGCACCGTCCCCTGGAGTTCCGGGACACCCAAAACGGTGCCAGGGGCCAGGGAGGAGCCGTGTCCTCGTGGCTT